GGTGCTGCCTCCGCCTCCTCAGCCCCAGCCGCTCAGGCCCGGTCGCCTGAGCTGCCCCACGCGCTGCGCAAGACACTTCGCCTAAATTTCTGTGGCCCCTTTTTTTTTTCCTTTTCTTTAAATCGAGCGGTGACAACGTGTGTGCAATCGGCACGTGCTCTCCTGTCACCCTGGCCTTGTCCGCTTCCCCAAACCAGCCATAATACCCCTCTTCTTGTCCAGTGCCACCAGTTTGTCAGCTGGGTCCAGGTCCAAGTCAGCTGCGTGAGAGTGCAGAGGAAGTAGCGAGGCTGCGTGGGCTTACACTGAGGTAGAATTTGAGGAAAAGCGACCCCTGAACTGGATATCGGCAAACATTTCCAAACAGTGATTCCTGCTCAAAGGGTGGTCTCTAGGCATAGTTTGTTTGATGTGCAGCCCTCATCAGTGATGATGGAAACCCCAAGCTCTGTACAGGGCTGCAGGCCTATGCAGAAGGAGGTGTTTGGATGACGTGACTGCTTGTTCTTTGGAAACAGGGACAGATATAATAACACATGAGAGAAGCAGGAAGCGGCACCTTTTATGTGTCAGTGGCATTCCTCCTCCCCAGCAGCCCCATTTTTGCCTGTGTGGCTCAGTACAGGTTTGTGCATTGCAAGAGTAGCTGATCTTGGGACGAGAGATTAGGTACCTGACAGTGTGGGAGAGAGGAGGGTGCTGGGAACTTTATCCCAGCAGCCTTGAAGTGTGGATGAAGTCCTCGAGAGATGAGTACATCAGCCAGAAGGCTGGCTAGACTTGAAGTTAGAAGATGGGGAGAAAAAAATGAAGTCACTAATGACTTGTTTCCTGAAAGACCTAGCAGTATTGTGATGACTTTTTATATTTGTAGTAATGAAAAATTGAAGTGCTTATCAAAATTGATACTGCTTATCAATACTTCGCAGTCTGGATTCCTCCTTCAGAATCTCAAACTGAGGGGAAGCAATGAAAACATTGAGACATAAATGAAACACAGTAGAGAAGATTTACTGTAGTAAAGTACTATTAAAGTACTGTAGTACAGTTAATACAATCATATATTGAAAAAATGAAACAAAATATCTAGGCTACTTAAGTAGTAAATGAAGATTATCCTGGCTAACAATATGATTTTGGATTCCTTTGAATATTGAAGGCAATCCCATCCATTTCGTGAATTTATGAAAGACCCGATGATGTTTTTTGTGGAGAGGAATAAAAAGGCACTATGCTTTTCTTAAAGCACATAGCTTGTCTTAAAGTCCTCAGTCTGAAACAGTTTTCTAAAATTGTCGTGGAAATTTGTAGCCAACCCTTCCCCTGAAGCAGCATGGGACAGAGATATGGGACAGAGATACTCCTTTTTTTTTTTAATAAACAAAGTCTTTGGAAGATTAATTTGGTAGTACTTTCAATTTTTTATATTCAGCCTTGCTGGTAGATCATTGGCTAGTAACCTTTTGGCAGAGGAGATTTTTCAGGGAGTCAGTGAAGGGTAGCTTTAGAGATTATTTTAGTTCTTGGCCCCAGTTACTCTGGGATGGGATTGCTAGAAGAACTGTTTCGAATAATGGAAATTGCTCTTAACAAAATGGCATCTGGATTGGCCTTTCTCCAAGGCACCTTCCTTTCCATCAGAATTGAGGATGTGGCATGAGCTGCCTCTGGATCTTGAATAGAAAGGCAGATGCTTGCATTTGTTTGACAAAAAAAGGGGAATATGGCAGTTATCTTGTTTCTGAAGCTGGAAGGAGACATTGGCTCTGAGAGGTATGTGAGAGGAGTGTACCGCTGCTTTCTAGTAATGTTTATGAACTCACGATAAAGCATTACTCTGGACTATTTTTTATTTTTTTTTTTTTAGTATCCCAGCTTCTCTATTTAAAATATGCATGAGATCTCGAGGAATAACAGGGATTTCTGTGTGCTGTAAATTGAGTCAAAACTAAGTTTTCCTTTTTCTTTTTTCCCTCTCTCTAGTGGAACGCAGTAGCTCTGTGGGCATGGGACATTGTGGTTGATAACTGTGCCATTTGCAGAAACCATATTATGGATCTGTGTAAGTAAATGGTGGGGAAGACAGTTGACAGTTTTCACTTGTACTTGATGCACAGCTGAAATTTCCTGTGTTGAGTGTCTAATTCAGCTTTCGGTTAGGAGCTAAGTCTTAACAGTGCAAATACTAATCTCTATTTTATGTAATGCTGAAGTCCTATAACCCATTTTTGTGACCTCTGCCACCATACTGTTTTTCTCTCACCCTTGTAATGAGTAGAATCACTTGGTACCACATCTACAGACGAGATGATGTTGCTGAGTGTATTTTGGATGCAACAAAGAGGAAAAGGAGTAATAATAAAGACCCAGGAGGAACTGAAATTATTCAGGATGAACATGTATTGCTTACAAGGAGAGGTATTAGAGTTTACGGTTTAGGTTGTTGCTATAGGTATCAACTTTTTGATGCCACTCATTAGGATGAAATCTTACAACACTTCCTGTGTCTGGCCAGGAAAGTCTTGGACCAGTGACTTCCTTTGACTCCTCACTCTGCAAAAACTACCTTGCATAAGTTAGTTAATGTTGTAGTATGGGGAATTTTGTAGCCACCTAGAGAACTAATTGTTTGTTTACAAAAGAGAGTAATCAAATGCGTAAATCAAAAACAATGTATTCCTAGTATTGGTCTGATTTTTTGCTGTACAATCTTAATGGTTCAGTTAACAAATGTGCTTGCTATGTAGGAAAGTAAAATGATAATGGAATTAAGTATACAAATTTCTATTGTGAAACAGGTGTGCGTGCATTAAGTCACTGGTTTGAGTCCCTTAAAGGATTGGTAATGAGTACAAAACCATTTTTTTTCTTCAAAACTGACAAGATACTGTTGGCACCATAATTGTCCATCTTGTTTCAGTCATGAGGGACAGAAGACTTTTTAATATACCCCAGATAGAAATTTGCCTTACTATATTTGCCTATATTACTAAAACGTGAGGACTGTGGAACCCCCAGAAACAAGAGGAGGTACAGCTACAGTGTGTTGGAATGGCCTGTCATGATCACATTGTGGTAATTTTGTTGCACTTTGCTTTTATGCAGTCGCCTTTGGAACTACTGGTAATGGTAACTTGCGTCAATAAGCCTATATGAAAATAAAACGTCAGAAAAATGAGACCTCAAGTTTATAGTAACAACTAGTAAGAGATGCACCTGATTTTACATCGTATTTAAATAATAACTGCAAAACTACTTTCAGAAGGTTTGTTTGTTTTTGGTTTTGTTTTTTTTATAAAGAGAAAACACATTGTAACACACAGGGCTGAAAACAGCTTAAGCAAGTTCACTTCTTTGCTTTGGGACAGATATATTTGTATTATGAGCCAGCTACTGCCTGTCCATGCCTCAGTTTATTCTTGGTGGTTAGAAAGGGAGCGATAACACTAAAGAGAAGCAAGTGAGAATACGGGTTATGAAATATGCTGAGGTCCTTTGATGTGAAGATTTCCTTTATGATATATTAGAGAGGAAAGCATGTTGCTGACAGGCAAATGGAATTTTAAATATTTATTAGAACATAAGTTACTTTTATAGAACTTACAAATGTGTAGAATAAATAGATAAAATACTGTAATTCAAGCTAATTATTCACAAGAACTGGGAAATGTTGTAAGACAGTAGATGATGGTGTGTTTCATTCTGTTAATCTGCCTCAAAATTAATAGTGCCTCCCATGAGAGACAAAATAAAGTCTTGTATATTTGCTGGTTTTTATAAATAGCAAAAACGACATATGAGGATGAAGGAGAGATGTGGAGGAGCTGAAAGGAGAGTGGTCAGATGTTGTTTTCCAGTAGTGGATTTTGTGTGTCAGTTCTTAAAACAAAACAAAACAAAACAAAAAATCCTACCAAAATGGGGGTCGGGTTGAGAGTGTATAGGTAGATTAGAAAAAACAGTTAAGGAAAAGCGAATAGGTAACTTTTTTTTTCTTTGAGTTTCTCAAGCAGAACACATTATTAGTTTGGGTATGAGCAATGTTATGAGAAGCCTGTACTGCAAATGACAGACCAAAATTGACAGTATACAGAGTAGAAGAGGTATCTAAATTGGTGTTCCAAGATCAGTGTTGGCTCTGGATTTACTTACTTCCTTGTTACAGATCGTTAATGTTGTTAAACAACACTTTAATTAGATTCTCAAACATAAGATGTGAAGTGATGGGAAATTGACGAAAAATTAATAGAATGTGCAGGGAAGAACAACAGGAGATTCAATTTGATAAAATGCAGGATACAAATGTCTCTCTCTCCTGGTGGTGAAGAGAAACCTTGGAAGGGGAAACATTAGAAGAGTGGTAAGTAATGCCAGCCATGCTAATGGAAGATTGTTAACATTATAAAGTCAAGCACCCAAAAGCTAGGATATAACGATGTTAAGGTGTCATGCAGTTCTTCTCATGCGTGTACATTATGACTCAGTAATAATACGGTCAAAGGATTCCCCCTGCCCTCAATTCAGTTTGTATTCAGTGTATAGAAGGAATGAGTAGCTTTTCAGTATTTTGATTTCATTCTTCTCTGGAAAGACCCAGGTCCTATTTAGATTTTACTTGAGCAGTGCTCTTGATTTCTTCAAAGGCTTGCTCTCTGGTGCTGTCACTGCAACGTGGTAAGTTGGGGAGTGTTAAATAAAGGCTATGTTTAGTATAGTGGATTACCTTCTGGTCTAAAATGTGGAATGTAATATCGTAGTAAGGTAACCGGTATAGATTTGAACTGTGTAAAATGTGTCGTCAAAATACAGGCCCCTTTCTTTGATCGTAAGATGCAAAGTACCATATTTGATATTCTAGCTTCACAAATATAGATGCATTGCATAGAATCCAAAGAGTAATCTTAGGATGCTTAACAGGTTGAATGATTTTGGATTTATGAGAAGAGTAAAAGAACAGAACTAAGTATATCTGGTTTGCTAAGTCATAAGCAGGTGTGGAAGATGATAGCTGTGTACATATATTTTGAGAGTGTGATACCAACAGGAAAAACTGGAAAAACTGAGCGACATATGAGGGGGTTACAAGTAGAAGGAATCATATGATGATATGATGGGGGGAACTTAGTAAAATCTGCAGATAATTCGTAAGAAGCTAGAGAGCATTTCAAGGGGAAAATTCTGAAGTTCCTCTAAAGTTTGCAAAACTAAATTGAAGAGCTTATTCTGCATTTTGGGGAATAGACTAGAATATTTCAGCTGGAAGGGACCTCCAACAATCATCTGGTCCAACTGCCTGACCGCTTCAGGGCTGACCAAAAGTTAAAGCATGTTGTTAAGGGCATTGTCAAAATGCCTCTTAAACATTGTCAGGCTTGGGGTGTCGACCACCTCTCTAGGAAGCCTGTTCCAGTGTTTGACCACCCTCTCGGTTAAGAAATGTTTCCTGATGTCCTGCCTAAACCTCCACTGATGCAGCTTTGAACCATTCCCACGCGTCCTATCACTGGATCCCAGGAAGAAGAGATCAGCGCCTCCCTCGCCCCTTCCCCTCCTCAGGAAGCTGCAGAGAGCCATGAGGTTGCCCCTCAGCCTCCATTTCTCCAAACTAGACAAGCCCCAGAGTCCTTAGCCACTCCTCATAGGACAAGTAACAAGTGTACTTCAAGTTTATTAGCCTGGTTATTTGGTTTTTTCTGTCTTTGTTTTCTGAGTGAGTACACCATGTGTTGTGTTAGCCAATGTGTATGTATTCCTCTTCTTCCCAGTAAGTCGATCCCTTCATGACATAATTTTAGAAGGCAACATGTAAAGAGAAAGGGGAACCCATACAGTGGTTACCCTTGCTCAAGCGGAAGCCGCTTTGAAGAGCTCTTATCATCAAATTTACCAGTGCAGCGGCCTGTTACTGTAGCTGTGAACAAAAGACATGTGCTTTCCTTTTGTTACCTGCCATTATGGCTAAACAAAATTTTTGTTGCTTTTCTTGTTAGGTAAATACCCAGAAGATTTCTGCAACAGAAAATGTATAGGAAGAGGGGTGGTTCTTAATAGATGCCAAAATTCAGAAGTTGCCATTATGTAACATGCATTTCTGTAAATCCCGGAGTTGAAATGATTCTGTTGCATCTTTCACAATTATTTACAGGTATTTCAGGTTTTAGCTGTATCTTTCTGCCCTCACCTCCAGATACTCTGTCAAAAGCAAGCCAAAAGAAGAGCTGTTCAGTATTCCACAAATACCTGTTACTGTCTGACTCTTACCACTTCTTTTGGGTCAGCAGACGGTAACTAGCTTCTCTCTCTTTCAAAAGCCAGAATCATCAGCTTTCATTCTCTGACAGAATGTTCATGTGGTTTATGTCTTTGTTGACACATTGTCCTTTTTTGAAATGAGGCAAGTAGGAGACCAAGAAGTGCTTCAGCTTTTGGGAGGCTCTTTTTCGGCAGCCAAAGGTAGTAGTGCCACCAGTAGTTTCCAGCCTGTTTGATGAGGGCGTTAAATCTGGGTGTTGTGTTGGAAGGGCCTTACATCACCACCAGAGAACTCCTCCTCGGCTATTTCTGCAAAAGTTCATCTGTCCTCTTAAGCTTTTGGGACTGTCATGTTTTAGACTGTACTTGCTGGTAAACGAATGTTTGAGTAACACCAAAATGAATTTCAGTGCTGCTTTTCGTCCTTATCTAAACCACCTGTCTTCCCTCTCTCTCCCAATATACAATATACAGAGTCCTTTAAAGCCTGGGGGGAGGGGAGAGGAAGTGTTCCAAAGCATACAGCTCACACGTTAGGGCCACTTGGGGGAGGGGGAAGACAAAATGATGTAAAAATGGGCTAGATGGACTTCAGAACTAATATGCTCAATATCCTGTTAAAGTTAGCTACCAGTTAACTTTTCTTCCTTCAAATGAATTTCCTCTCCTTTTCCTACTACTCATCTTCTCACAATTTGCTGTTACTGTAGAGACTCACGCCAAATATTTAAAACTTAATATAATATGCCCCATGATACTGAGCAAGACCATGAGTCTATACTGCAGTAACAGTAAAATTGTTGCAGCAATCTCCTGTGTCATATTTTAAACAAATGTCCAAAGTAATTGAAACTCTTCAATGTTCTTGACTGTCCTCCATTTTCTTAATCAGATTTATTTTTATAGCTGTATGTATTGAGGGCTTAAGAAGTTACGACATCGGACATTTCAGGTGCACTGGATTTTGTTCTCTTCTATAGGCAGGCCAGGAACTGAGCTTTGGACTTCCTGCTGTGGTATATCGTATCTTGATGTAAACCGTATAATAAATACACGTTCACTCAAAACTTGCAAAACAGTTGTTGCTACTGAGTTTCTTTAGACCTCAGTCTTGAGTAGTCCCTTGTGACCGAGGTTAATTGATCTCTCTCACATCTCAGGAAAAATGGGCCTTTCTCTTATTTTGTTCATCTCCACACCTGAGAGAGAGTGAAAAATGGAGACAGGGATGAATAGGACAGAGCAAATAAAGATTACATTTTTCAGCCAAACCTGTGGGGTTTGAAAGTTTTTGAATCTTTAATTGCTGAATCAAATTCCTTTTCCTCTGAGCATATTTGGGCACACTAAAAGTGAACAGAGAATTGGAGCTCATTCAGACATTTTCTTTGCCAGGAAAAAAAGATCTGCAAAACAAGAAAGCAACAAGCCCACGTATCGAGTTCTAAGATGATCATCTAGCAGCATGTCTTTTTAAACCATTTAGGCTTAGAGAAAGCATCCTTTTGCAGGAAGTAAAATGTTGGTCTCATAGGTTTGTGCTGCTGGCTGTGGAGGAGTTGGAAATGTCTTTTTTTCTCCTGAAGTTTCTTCTTGAGCTGGAGGAGAAGTGAATTTTTCAGGCTCTAGAGTGGAGAACCAGGTTACTGAATTTGTTTTCCCAGTGCTGTTCTTCCTTCTTTTCTCTCTTTCATCTCCTTCGTCCATGCCATCTGACACAAAAAGTAAAACATAACCCAAACCCATAAATAGTATTTATCTTTTGGGGGGTCATCTTAGGTACTAATCTCAAAGGTGTTAAAAGTTCAAAAAACACATTTTAAACTCTATTTTCTATTGTGTATTTTTGGGCTGGGCTTACCTGTCACGAGACTATAGAAAAGAGACTAGCAAACTCCAGCATTACATGAGCAAATTAATTTGTAAATATAACTGATAGTACAAAATGTCTGACAAGACAGTGAATTTATAATTAGAGAAACCTGGGTAAGAAATTTAAGGAAACGCATCTATGTGATTAATCTTTGTTTTCACAGGCATAGAATGTCAAGCAAACCAAGCATCAGCTACCTCTGAAGAGTGCACAGTTGCATGGGGCGTCTGCAATGTAAGGAAAACTATTCTATTGTGGAGCTCATTTGTGGTGATGCTATCCCCTTTTTTCATGACTTGGAACAGAACAAGTTCTATAAAATGTTTCAGATAATCCACCAGAAAAAAGAACTTTGAAGAAAAAATAAGAAAGAGTGAAAGTTGGTGAGGTGTGATAGGGAAGACACAGAAGAGAAGCAAGATAGGCCTTTACCCATATTTTTTGGAAGCATAATAGATCTTTAATTTTGAACATGATTTTCCGGATCAAGGTTCTGCCTAGTAGCTATGCCTTTTTTTCCTGGTAATAGGGGTACTTGTATATCAGCATGCTTGATTTGTCTTTGTGCAGGCTGATTCAAGGAGTCAATACCGGGTAACTGGGTGATTTGCTTCCCCTTTTGGAGGAAGATCAAATCGATTCGAGTGTATAATCTCTACCTCTTCAGTTTGTTGCCGTGTGCACTCCTTTGTACATGGTCCCACTAGCATGTGAACTCAAACTTGCATACCTCTTAGCTAGCCTGGGCCTGAGCTGGAAGATAAAATTTTCCAGAATGGAATAACTCCCTGTTCCTCAGTCTCATCCTCACTGTGCTGTGGGGTCAAGTTACAGCGTGATAATGCTGGAACAGGATTATAAATGTTGCAATTCTGTTTGTAGAGGACAACTTTTTTGACCGTGTCAGAATATACTAGTGTCAAAATTATGTTTTTGTGTGCAAGAGTTACCACAAGTGGAACCTTTTTTTTAAGTAGCTGTATGGGGTGTGGAAGAAGGTGTCCTTGTCAAACACCTAATGGAGATTTTTTTTTTTCTTTCTAATTTTGCAAGTTCCTTTTTATTCAGGTTTTGGTTTATCCAGAAGACTGGCAGAAAGCTTCAGCGTGTATGCATACATACGTATCATCCCTGCTACTCATTGTGAAATCCTCTTTCTTGTCTTTCTGATTATGCTTCATATCAGCATCTGCTCTGCCAATTTTAGCAGCTGTTAAACTGTGCATTCTCTCCTTCATCAGAAGTCAGTTGCTTGCCACTGCGTGCGCTGTGGAAAGGCTCCCTGCTGCCAATTCACTAATGTTCCCTTCCGCCCCGAAAATGTGGATCAATTTCTTGGTGTTTACCAGTGAGCTGGCTGATTAGTCTTCCCCACCTTTGTCTGCAAACACTTCCCACTTCCTTCTCACCGTGGTGTTTTCAGTGATAGTTTTCACAATGAGATACATTCATGTGCTCTGAAATAATGTGATCTGAACTTTCTCTTCCAGCATGCTTTCCACTTCCACTGCATCTCTCGCTGGCTCAAAACTCGCCAAGTATGTCCGCTGGACAACAGGGAATGGGAGTTCCAAAAGTAGGTATCCTGCACAGATTTCAGGATGAAAGATCCAATTGTCTTTTTGTTAATAGAAATTATCAGTGTCAGATGTGTGGGCACTCTTTTTCATTTGTGGGTCTGAGGACATAGTTGCTGTTGGGAAGGGTTTTTTCTCTACCTTACTGTATAGGGAACTTTCTTTAGTCACCTGGTGGTAGATGAGCTCTGAAGGAAGCCCAAACAGCTGTGGGCAAAGTGGGAGCTGTTAAAAAGCAGTGATTTCTATTGACATTCTCTCTAAAGAGTGGAGAGTAGAAGAGAAATGGAATTCACTGAAAATGGAGCCTCAGGTGAATACTGCACTGTTGCATGAGCAATTTGGATTTAGAAAGTGACCCGAATTTAGCTGCTGGTGTTTCACAGCGTTTCTGCTGAGGTGCCAGAAGTCTTATTGGGTCCCTCTGTATCTTTGTGATTTGTTTTAGAACTCTAATTGGCTCAGAGATTGATATGTCTGATTTCCTAGCATCTGGAAATCAAATATCCATGTAGCCATTGCTGCATCCTTGGCCCATTTATTCATAATTTCTGTATTTGTTTTGTTTTGTGTTTTTCAAAGGTCTGTTGTTGGAATAGCAATAGGAGGTCCATGGGTGGGTTTTTGAGGGGTAATTGTGTTTTGAGAAGTGATTGTACATTGAGATCAGTTATTAATCTTTTCTTAACTGTGGATTTTCTCTCTCTCCAGCCCCTTTGAAACAAAACAAACCAAATATATTAATTCTAACCAGAGCCCAGATTAAAAACAAAGCGAACCAGATATTATAACTGTTCAGGATTGTCTTTGGGATCTGGTTCACGATCAGTTGCGCAAATCGTCATTAACATGACAACTTGAGTACCATAGTTTTGATATTAAGGTGTTTTAATGAACCCTTAATGAAAACTGAGCCCGTGTTGCCTGAGTAGTGACTTAATATTGCGTGAGCAGCGTGATGAGAAGTGGAGCCAGGAATGAATGTCATCTTATGGGCGCTCAGTAGTGTCGCTGGGGCTATGGCAAGCTTTGGCCTTGTTCTCATGCAGGGTATATCTGAAGTGGGATTCTGGGCAAAAGCTGATGATACTGAGGGTCTCTTGCATAGGATATTCTGTGTTGCTCAGTCTCTCTTCTAACTAGTATCTGGATAGACTTTTGGGGGAAGTGAAATGTGGAGAACTTCCTAAGGTTTCCATAGCATAGCATTTCACCTTCATCTGGTTTACACGTTAATTATGGCATGGTAGAATGAGCATAAATCTGCCCAAATCAGCACTGGTATGAAGCATAATTTTTTAAAAAGCATTATTATATTGTATATTTGCAGGTATGGACACTAGAGAGATGGTCACCATGCTTCTTGTTATGTCGTCAACCTCAGTTGTTTGTGTCACTATGGATTTGTTTTATCAACTTGAAAAATCAGTAATGTATACAAATCTTCTTTAATCTTAATTTCTCCCTGTTGTATACCATTGAATAAAATCTTGCTGGAGCTTCCTGTCAAAGTTTTTTGTCTTGTGTTCAGGAGTGGGCAGTCAGTGAATGAGGGAGGAGAATTACCTGGAGACTGGGGACTTCAGCGAGGCAGCTCTTAAGCTGGGCAGCTTTTCTTGTTGCTGTGCCCCGTTTTTGACTGTGGGTTTGGTCTTATTCCCACGCAGTTGAGAACCACACCCCTGGCTCACTGAGGCTGGTGTTAAGCTCCATCGTGCAGCGCAATGGGTGCAGGGCTTGGCCTGGCTGAGTGTAGTTTATGCAAATTGTATTTCATATGGACATGCCTTCTTGCAGCTGAGTGGAAATGATGATCTATACAATTAGGAGTTGTGTCATTATTAGAAAGTACTCTCTCTTGCTTCTGCTTTTGAGTGTGACTAGATCAGCTCCCATACAGAGGAAAATGTCACAAACTATTCCCAGTTCCATCTATTTAGCCTGGGGGACATTAACTGAATGTTAGATTTTATCAGTGCTCATGAAGCACTTTCATGTGTCAGGTGGAAGTAAACTCAGGAAATTGACGTGCTAGATGGGCTGGAAAATGAAAAGTAAGCAGCGTATGAACAAACTACTACATGGTTGGCTTTCTACTGGTATTTTCCCAGTTCAAGCCAAGCTGTAGTTCTTACTGGCCAAAATTTCTTACTCTGAAAACTACGTAATGTTTTGTTTGCCGTCTCCTGTGCCAAATGTCCTGGTATCCTCCTCACTGCATCAAATTTTGGCCCCTATGTTGACAGCCTCAGCAGATGCCAGGAACTCCAACAAGGTCAAAGAAGTTCTTCCTGCTACAAGAGGCTGTGTGCCTTCATGTCAGCAGTAGTAGATACAGTAAATTTCTTTCATCGGCTCTTTGTGATGCCACCTTTGGGCCAACACTTTTTTTCTAGTTATCGAGGATGGAAAATTTGATAGCTGATGTTGAGCATTAGTGTACTGTAGTGATAGGGAATAAAGATGGTCATGGACAGAACTAAAACTTGCAGGTTTTTCAGTAATTGCTGGGGCTTTCTTTAATCTGCAGCAAGCAAATGTCAGGATTATTTTATCAGCTGGTGTCAGTGCTCTGAAATGATACGGTTCACTGTTTTCCACCCTGAAGAAGAAAAAAGGAACGACTAGAATCCAGAGAGTTTGTAGCCGGAAAGTTTATTTACCAGGTTTAGTTGGTAGAAAATTCATCCTAAATTTGCAAGGTGGCTTTGGTGATGGAGACAGGAATGAAACAGGAGAGGAGAGGGGAAAGGTGATCTCAGCAGTGGTCAAAGCATTCACCCAGGCAGCAGGATAGCCAGGTTAAATGCCATTTCCTGAAATCTGAACTCCCAGTTAACGTTCTGTCCAGCTGAGTAAAATGTCAGATGTCTCTGTTTATGATTGTCCATTTTGTATACAGTGATATATTTTTCAGGACCTGGAACCCAGATGCGGATCGGGTGATTTATTTCCTTGAGAACTTTGTTTTGGGTCCAGCTGCATCATTCTGGTTCGTCTCCTTTCAGTCTGGATGTTGTCCTGAGTGTATTTTTTTGGCTGAGGACAGACACATCAGTGAAGGCATTTCCCTCTCCTTCGTGGTTTTGTGTGCATTTGCTTGAGGCTGTGCTTGCATGAAAACAGTTTCTTTTTGTATTTTTTTTATTGCTTGCCTTTTTTTTTAATGGATTCCTCCAAATGGCGAGCTACAGGCGCTCTCCCCCCACAGCCTTTGAACCTCAGTTCTGCTGTGGTGTCTGAATCTGTGAGTGTTAAATTTGATTTCAGATTCCTGTCATAGCATTTGTCCCAAACCTGGTTTTCCCAAATGGAAAAACACAGACTGTAAAGCAGCAATTGCTTACAGACCTGGGAAAGAAAATCCCTTCTCAGCTGCTGCCTTCTGAG